CCCCCCCCCCCCCCCGTTTTTAGGCCAAAAGGTTATGAAGCTTCCCATAGGTAAGGGAGTGGAAGTGAGGCTGCAAAGAACTGCTGTGTGGGTTTTGATTTGCGCTGAAATGGCCACAGTAACCTGCCCATCGCTGGCTTTCTGAAGTGCTTCCATAGACTGACCATCATCCAAGTGCTTGTTGCGCAAATATGCTCTTGTAGTTCAGAGGAGTTCATCTATGAATGGCTCAGCGGTCAACACCTGAGCTTGAAACTTGGTGGGCGGGAGCTTTTGGAAGAAGTTTGATCCAAATATGCATAGGAGAAGAACCATGTTAAGTATCACCTGCATGTAACCTTGTCTTTGTTCCGTAGTCCTCCAGCAGCGATAGCGGCAGCAGCAGCAGTTGTAGTAGCAGTAGCATCCACAGCCCTGACAGAGCAAGCGGTCCAGAAAGCAGCTTAAATCAGATCATTGCAGGATCCAGCCCTGGCACCTCTCAGTCCCTTCAGGAGCAGTCTGCACTAAGTCAAGGTCCTTACTTCCACATCAACCAGATCCTGAAGGAGGCACACTTTCATAGCTTACAGAGCCGGGGGCGCCCTCCAACATGATGAAGCAGCAGTTCCTTGCCTTCTGTGAAGGGACAGCACTGTGTAGATTTGATATTTCAACTTCAAGTTTGTTAAAATGGAATTGCACAAAACGCCTGTTGCCTTTTCAGTCTATATTTGAAATAACAGGTTAACAGGAAATTGTTTACTTGTGGTTTGCTGCACTATTGCAATGCAAAAGGGGCTTTGAAGCAATTTTTATAGGATTCTTTTTGGGGTGGGTACAAATGACATGTTGAGCTGAGTCTGAGAATCCAGATCTGTATTATAGGAGTGCATAATGGTCCAATTCCAATTGACTGCCCAATCTGTTTGTTAGCAACTTGTTGCTTTATGTAAAAGTTCTTACAAAACATTCATCTTCAGTTTTATAAGTCTCTTCTGTTTGTTTTCGGGTTTTTTTTGTTTTTTAATTTCAATAAACTAGTAAATAAGTTTCCATAGTGAACTATCTTCTTTTCGGACATCAGCATACTAGTCTGGGCATTTAAGGGTTAGAGGGACATGCTTTCAGAAAGTAGGGTCAGCTGTAAGGACAACTAGTAGCTGGCCTTTCCCTGGTAAGATCTAGCCTGTTTGATCATTCACAGGTGCTGCCAGGACACAACAGGTGAGCCTAGAACTGGGAAGATCTAGAACCCAAAGCAGGTTTCAGCTAGAGATAATATTTGAAGAGCACAGGGGTTTTGAAAGGGCAAAG